AGAGAGAGAGAGAGAGAGAGAGAGAGAGAGAGAGACGGGAAAAAAGTGAGGAGAAGGGAGATAGAAAGACCTTGTATATATATTTATACGTACGTCATTCTTCTCTCATTTTTGGAAGACACAATAATTTGTTTACACAAACACTGAACAAGGGAATTCCAACATAGCTAAACACTCAAATAAACACGTGCGTTAACCTGCAAACTCACTAGCATGCAAAAACCCACAAATATAAAGCTCCAATAAAAACAAGCACAGAAAACTCTCCCTGTTTCTATTACTTAGCAAATGAAGAACGGCACAGAGAACGAGAGCAATAACTATTCATGGGTCGCTCTGCCTTGATAATTGTTTTCCCGAGTAAAGACATGTGAGCGAACGAGTGAAACCTTCCTTAAAAAATTCCCGGAGCCAAAAGAGGAAAACAAATATCAGAATTGTGTCGCTGACCCTAGTCGAGAGTCGATATTCAATTTCGTTTGCCATTATATTCTCACGTAATTGCATTTCCGTATCGCCAAGTCTATTCACAGTCGCAATGTCCACTTTGCTTGGAAATATAATGTTACTTGCCATAAGGTCGCTTTTGGCCGCGTTGTTTTACCCTTAGCGGCCGAAACGCAAACTTGCCGTGTCGCCCATCTAATTTTGTCCCGCCAGCATCCACCAGAGATACTTATTTTCGTTGCTGTGGCAGTGTACATAGCTTTTATATTCCTCATTGTCTGTATCATTACGTGGGTTACAGACCAATACTTTACGAGTTACGAGACCTGATTCACTGGCATCTCACGTGGGTTGCAAGTGCCGCCTACATAGTACTCTTTTGTGCTCATGCATACTTCTCCTGTTAGCACCGTGTGGCAGGTGTTGCTGGCATGCCCCAAGCAAGGAGGGATATTTTTTCACTTACGACCAACAGCGTAGGTGCAAATTTGCGGACAGTTGTATCGGCAAACTGAATTATAATCAAAATTGAGTTCGTAATAAGATCGTACAAACACAGGCCTTCAGTCTTTCTACACCCCATCCCTTCTCTCTGTCTCCTACTCTTCTTTACACATTTTCTTATCCTTATCTCTCTTGAAACCAGAATCGCCGGTCAGCCAGCCCCCTCTCTTTAAACATATTTTTTCCCTCCTCCTCTCGCCTTATCGACCCACAGCAGACCCTCGCCATCACGCCCACCCGCCCACCGCCCTTCATCAGGACAAACGTCTTGTAAGTAATGTGGTTCTAATATTAACCTCCTGTAAGCTTACCTTCGAAGCGCCGTGCGAAGATATAGACGTAATTGGCATCGAGAGACCGTGCGCTTGGCGAGCTTCATTTCGTTATTCACGGGTTTCCGAAAGTGATAGATACACCTTTGTGGCGAGATATAGGGCGACATTTTGGGTGTGGCTCGCTTGCTTATTTATCTGGGTGATAAGGTCGGGTGAACTTTTTTGGCGGACTTATTTGGCCGGCCTATGCAAATGAAGGTACCGGAATGAAACTGAAAATGCTCACATTTTCAGTCGCTCTTTCTTTCTTTTTGCAACACGACTACAAATAATCGTGAATACAAGTTGATACGATTTATTTAGTTATATACGTACATATATATAGATATATGATATATCTATATACATATATATACACAGAATATATTTTTATAGACATATGTTGAGTGTGTGTGGGTGTGTGCGCGTGCGCGTGTGCGTGTACGTGTGCGTGTGCATGTGTGTGCGTACAGTTTATGTCGGAAAATATATATTATATATATATATATATATATACAAGCTATATATACTGTATATATATAGAGAGAGATGTATAGATAACAACACACACACACACACACACACACACACACACACACACACACACACACACACACACACACACACACACACACATATATATATATATATATATATATATATATATATATATATATATATATATATATACATCAAATCCGTACTTCACATATTTCAGTTGGTTCTGTAGTCCATGAGCCTTTGCACAGCCAACCAGGTACTTGCAGTTTTCGCTAGTGTTTCTGTGTCACACCAGACATCATCCTTCACATCAGCTCAGGCGCGTACGCTCTGCATATCCTTTAATGTACCCGTAGTAGTAGGCGTGCCCCATTATGAAACCATTGGTATGAATGACATATATGTACAGCACACACACACAACACACACACACACACACACACACAACACACACACACACACACACACACACACACACACACACACACACACGCACACACACACACACACACACACACACACACACACACACACACACACACCCAAACACACACACCAACGGGGGGCATCAGTCCCACATGAACGGCACGTTTGTACGAACAAATGAAAGAAAAACCAATATAAAATGATAAGATCATGTCAGGTAAGAAGACTGATATAAGTGACTGATCCATGGTAAGATTTATATAGCACACTGATCCATTATTTTTATTACACAACTATCATTTATATTG